GCTGATGAACAGCACAGTGAGCTGGAGTTGACTAAGCATGGATTTTTTCTAGTAGAGCTAGAGGTAAATGGCTTTGTCATCCATTACACTTTCCCAGCTTTCTTAGATTTCCTCCCTGGAACAAAGCCAGGACATTATGGGGAGCGGGAGGGTTGTTATGCACATGGAATGAACAAAATTTCCTGTCTCAGGCTGAGACGTGCTGCCTGGAGCTGAAAGACCCAAATTCAAGTCCCTCCACTTCCAACCTTCTGTCGGCAGACAGCAGCTGCCAGGTCGTTACCCCAAGTGTCCCTTCCGTGGTGTTGCTGTTCTACACTCCGTAAATGTACAGAAGGATCACATGAGCATATGTGAGGACTGTTCTGCCTTTGGCCCATGGCATGACCTAGGGAAAGTGAGGTTGTTTCTTCCTCTCACCTGGAGGTTGCCCCTGGGCACCCACTGGCAGGATGGCAGGGTGCCCTGGCTCACACAGGAGGGATGCAGGCTTGAGGCTGCAGGAGCCCAGCGTCCCCCAGGGCTGGGGCTGACCCTGTCACAGGGTTTGACTGAACAAGGGCTTTATTCCACAGCAAAAGCTGCAGTGACTGTTGTGTAGAATTGGCTCTGAAATACATTCAAACTGTGTTAGGGGAAGCATGTGAGGGGCTGTTAATATGTGATCAGATTTAAAATGTGGATTGTTATGCTTAAACCTCACTCCAGTCTAATTAAGCGGTAAAAATTTCTTTTTTCTCTCGGTGATAGCCACTGCTACAGTCAGTTGATGTTTCACCAACCACTAGCCATGTTCTCTATTTAAAAATATAATCAAAGTCTGCCCCTCCAAATTCCCTAAAATCTATGTAAACTATTAAGAAAAGCAAAAATATTGCATTTTATTAAATTTCATTACTCTGACCCTGCCATTCTAAAATGTATTGGCTAATGAATAAAGTAAATTTTAGTGATTTTAGTGCATAGTTACAGTTAAAATACTGTCCTTCTTTCTTACCTTTGCAATAATTTTACTCAGATCCACTTTGTGTTAGTAGATGTACGCCTGTGCATCTTTAGAATTCTGATGTTATTATTAGATCTGTGTATTTGGTCAGGTAAGCTCAACGTTGTCTACTTATTTCTTCATAGTCTGGACCTATGTTCTACTCCTAGTACCATTTAACACCCTGGTGAATTCAGCAAAAGCCTAGTAACCTTCCTCAGTCGGCATCACATGCATCCTTTTTTTTTTCTTTTTTGAATTCTCACCATCACATGTGGGAGGTTTCTTCTTTACCAGAACAAGAAAAGAATATTTTTCAAAAGTAAGAATAGAAAATGAATATGTAAAATTTTCCTTAAGCTTCATAAAGAATCATCTCCTGAAACTGAAATAATTTTGAGTCCATATCACTCAGACTACTTTCTTCTAAAAGGTGTGGGGAGAAAGAAAGAAAAAGAATATCTGTTTCTGAGCTGGGTAGCCTGGGAAGCAGAATTGTCAGCCATAATAAAGCTATTTCAGCTCAGAATCTCTGAAAGACACCTCTAGTATCTTTGCAGGATCTTGGCTGACCTACCAGTGCATATGAAACAGAAATTTATTTTATTTTGGTGGTAAAATCCATTCTATATACAGTACTAGGTTTTCAAACCATGTTTAAATCACTGGGTTTCACCTGTTGTAGTGGGAGTGTGTAAAGTCCTGGAAGACTTCTACACAGATGGCCTTAATCCCATGGGGAGATTGCAGATTATTACCAGGGATATTGGCATTCATGGAGTGCTTGGGCTGGCTGGCAAATGATGACATCAATTTTGTGAAAGAGGGATCATGCACTATTCTATATGCAATCAAGTGCTAAATTTAAACACTGGTGGGACAATAAATTTTTTTTGTAAGAAGGGTCATTAATAGGCAAAGGCCTGAACCATCAAACCTTTACTTCCATGAACAGCCTTTGCTCACAGAGGTTATCTCATTAGGCAACTGCCTTACTGAAAAAAGGGCATTGTAATACAGGGATTGAGGAATTAGTATCTGCAAGAACAACTTTTCTAATTATAGACTAAAAAAATTCATGTATGAAAGTCCATTTGTGGGATTTAGAAGAATGTATGCTGTCTGCTTCGTAACAATGGGAACCAAGAGAAAACTGGGAGTTATCAAGGTTCTAATGAGTACAAACCTTGTTGTAAAATTCAAAATCTATCCTCTTAATATAATGTCCTCTATCACACAGTGGCCAATCCTATTTGAGCAAGAAACCTAATCCCCATAAATGTCATACTGCTTATATGGGATGCTTGAATTCACTATAACTAATGACCAATTTATTCTTGAAAGAGAGCACTCTTGAAGATATCGTGTCCTTTATTTTCATGCCAGACAAAATAAGGATTTTTCATGACCGCATCATCTATACTTTTTATTTATATATTCAAATATAATTATAATAGTTAATCAGAGCAAAGGAATAATGCACAATAACAACACAGATTTTTTTTCTCCCTGATTTCTGAACTTTCTGTATTCTGCTCATGGGTACTTCATCCATTTGTTGGCTCACAGCCAATGTGAACCAGAATGCCAAGGTATGTGTAAAATCATGGCAGAGTTATTTCCCTTTTAGTTTACAATGCTTCTCTTCTGACTGTCTTGTTAAACATTGCAAAATTAGTTGCCAGAAAGAGCAAGAACAATCTCTGCTTTTCATTCATTTTAGCTAAAGCAGAAATACTGCAAAATTGTACATGAACACACAGAGAAGGGGCTGCCACAGTAGGGAAGGAGTTAAACATCTGCCGAGGTCTATACTACTGTCCGCTCCCTGAACCAATTTTTCACTCTCTACAATTCAGGAAAAACCTTGGAATAATTATGATACTGACACACAAGACACATTTTCACTATTTTCTAATCCTAAAAGCAAGGTATAATGTGAATAATTGAAGAAAATGGACAACAGGTAAAATTAATACACAAAGGATTTTTGATTTATTTAAGGTAATTTAACTTGCAGTAGCTTTGTGTTGCCTCTCCCAACACGTAAAACCTGAAGACATAGTAATATATTCTAGTGCAATAAAGAAGTAGTCCTAGCTATTCACTTTTGCAATAAACACATCTCAAGTTAGAAAATTCCTTAGTTTTGAACTTCATCCAATCCCCAGTTTGGTTATTTCTGCCATAAACAGGGCTGACATTCTAAGGTATCTTCATACCTTTATTATATCTCCTAATACTATTTTCTGTGCAAAAGGCCATTGTTATGGTGCTGTTTGGGTTTTTTAAAATGAATTATTTCTAATCATCTAGCAACTTCTCAGATCAACTGCTGCACCTTCACAAACTTGCACATGCTTTTGGGATTAAATGCTGTCCTTTTCCCACTTTCAGTTTAGGCTAAAGGATGCAGTGGAGCCTGGTCAGGGAGCACTGCACTACTGGTTTATACCTTGGTTGCTTCTGTGTGGGATCAGAAGTGTTCTCCAGTGACACAGGCCATGATGAGTGGTCCCCGTGTCCCTCACCCTGTTTTGCAGTCCCCCTTTTCAGCCGCAGCTCTGCAAAGAATAGTGGGAAGGCAGAGGAAAATGGCCTGAGGATTGATGTGCTGTTTCAGCCTGTGGTGGTTGTTTTCTCCTCTAAGGCAGCGAGTATAGAGCACTGATTAATGCAGACCTCAGATGTGCACGTTGGAGGAAGGCAAGGAGGAAGGAAAAAATGCAGGCAGAATGCCAGTGAGGCTCTGGATGTGTGTGTGTGATAGAGGGGTTAGACACGTGTGCAAGGAATGCTGGGCTGAGAATCACAGAATCATAGAATAATTTGGGTTGGAATGGACTTTTAACACTCACTGAGTCCAGCCCCACTGCATGAGGTGTTTTAGCAATGGCGCCAGCTGCGCACCCGAGGGAGCTGAGTGAGAGGAGCAGTGGGCAAGGGCTTGTCTCTCGGTACTGGACTGAACATCTTTCCTCTCTGTGCAGCACCCCTCCAGCATCAAGCTGCATTATTCTGGGGAGGGGAAGGAGTAATGGAAACCCCTATTCCTCTGGTTTTAGAGGAAGCATTAAGTTGGAAATGATTGGGATTATCTCAATCATCTTGAATAGAGCTCATTCTGTGCAGTGTAAATCTTTCTCTACAACAATCACAGAGTTAATAGTGCCTGGCCAAATTTCACAAGCTGTGGTGCATTTACTTATCAGAAACAAGAAACAGGTACAGAAGAAATCTGCCTTGAAGCAGCAAAGTGCTTAAATGCTCAGCTATCAAGCTTCTGTCCTGTGAAATGTTCTTGGCTACGACGGTCAGCAGATCTAACGGATCTTTGTTCTTGACTGAATATTTTTCCAGCTCATGTCACATCTTACCCTGTACAGATTTTCCTCCTGGCTTTTTAGCCACTAGAAAAGGATGGATACTTTCTCCCTATAGTCCTGTAACTTACACCAGAGCTTTATAGCAACTCTCCTTCCAGCACATGGGGTTAGTCTAGAGCACACAACATGGAACAAGTGGAACATCCAGGCCCTCAGATCTTGTCCCATGTTGCCAGACACTATGACATCAGTTTGTTCTTTTTGAAAATGTGAAGAGCTCCATCCTAATGGTAATTATTTTTTCTGCCTTGTTAGCACTTCTGAAAGAACTTTTAAGATAATCGATTTTCTTATGTTTAGAAATCATCCGATTTTTGCCTTAAGTGCATTAATGGGCAGCTCATACCTGTTTGTTCTTGACAAACGCCTGGGATGCACTTAGCCTTGGTGAGGCAAGTTTTCACACATATTCCCACCAGGAGTCCCTGGCACCGCTTTGCTCCCACAGACTGACACCAGCCTGCCGGAGCAAGGACGGGTGCGCTGGCTGTGCGGAGGGACGGGGCTTTGCTACCGGCGGGGGCTCGGCCCGCAGCTGCGGTCCGGCGGGAACGTGGCTGCCGGTGGGCACACGGCAGCCGCGGGCGGAGGCGCCGGCGGTGGCTCGGTGCGGGCGCTCGGGCCGCCCCGCCTCTGCGAGCCTGGGGCCAGGGGCTACGGTGCCGGCTGCAGCCGGTGCCTGAGGCGGTACGTCCGTCTCTCTTGGGGAAGGGGCTGCGGGCCGCTCTCAGCGTGGCGGCGGAGGTGGGCAGCGAGGGCTGGCGTTGCGCGGCCCGGGAGCAGCGGGGCGCGGCGGGCCGGGCCCTGACGTCAGCGGCCGGGGCGGCTGCAGCTGCGGGCGGCGCTCCCCGAAGCGGCGGCGGCTCCGCTCCTGCGCTCACTCCGCGCTGCCGCAGCTCCCAGCGCCCGCGGCGCCCGGGCGCTCCCTCGCCGCGCAGGTAAAGGGGGCTCCGGGACGGCGGGGCAGGACCCGCTGGGCTCCGGAGCCGCCGCGGCGCGGGGCTCTGGCAGCCGGCCGCAGCTCCCTCGCTTCCTTTCCCGCGGCAACTAATTGGGGGAGCGGCCGGGCGGTGCCGGCCGGGCTGCCGAGGAACTGGCCAAGTCGGAGCGGCGGCGCGGTGCCCAGTCCCGGCACCCTCGGCCGCCCCCGGCAGCGAGCCGGGGCCGCTCGGAGCGGGGCGCAGGGCGGAGGCTGCCGCAGCCGCGTTTGGGGCGGGGGAGCTGCGCAGGGTGGGTGCCGCGGGGTGCTGATGTGTCCGGCTCCCTTTGCAGGCTGCTCGGGTACTTCAGAGCGAGAGAGGCTGAGCCGGCGGCGTCCCGGGCATTTCCAGCTAGCGCCCGCCAGCAGCCCGACCGACTGAAATTTAGACGTCTTCAGAGAGGGGAGGAAGATCCTCATCTTCCGTAGCCTCCTCAATGAGTGCCAAGCTCTCCAAAGAGTTGAGGCTGTCCCTGCCGCCTTGTCTTCTGAACAGGACATCTGCCACCTTAAATACCAGCAGCACCTGCATCACGCAAGTGGGTCAACTCTTTCAGTCCTTCTCATCCACCCTGGTTTTAATTGTCCTGGTCACCCTCATCTTCTGCCTGATCCTCCTCTCCCTCACCACCTTCCACATCCACAAGAGGAAGATGAAGAAGCGGAAAATGCAAAAGGCTCAGGAGGAGTATGAACGGGACCACTGTGCCCGCAGCAGCAATAGCAGCAGCCAGCACCCTGGGACAGTGGTGCAGGGAGAGGCACCCCAAGGAAGAGACAGCCGACTGGGAAGACCCCCCCAGGACTCGGAGATCCAGCGCTCCTCTCCCTCGGCAGCCCCCAGCTCTCAGCAAGCACAGGCTTGTTTGGACACAGCTGGTGTGGGGCTCCTGCAGACGGTGATTTTGTCATGATGGTTTGGGGGAGACCTCACGAAGGCACTGATTGATGTTTGTAAATATCTGAGTGATTACTCTAGTCCCCGAAGAAGAAGAAAACATTGCTAATTCAAATGAACGAACAAGCCCATGATCCAAGCGCATGACAGATCACATTGCGTTTCTCATTGACTGTGTGAGGAAAGGACGCATCTTTTTACTGGAGAAGGAGCTGCACACAGCTACTCAATATCAAGTCATCCACCTGCACGAGAGGGTCAGGGGTAGGGGGTCCCTTTTCTCTGGACATTATTACCCCAAGTACAGGGATAATTGGGATTCCCACTGCTCTTGAGATTGCCACCACGCCCTGTGTCATTGCTACATGGTGTGGGTTGGGGTGTGGGGGAGAGGCAGGTCTGGTGGGTGCCTTGGGACCCTTCTGTCGGAGCAGGCTGGTGGTACACTGTAGTCTCTCCTTTTGTGCTGGGATCTGTGCCCCTTTCCCACCCCTCTCACTCCTTTCCAGAGCTGAATATTGCTTGGTGTAGAAATGGCCACCCCTAGTTGGGCTTAACTGCAAGCACCCTCTGACCCCACAGCCCTGTGCCCCCAGCTGCAGCACTGAGTGACCCACTCACTATCTGAAGGATGGAGTCAGCTGTCTGCATAGAGCTGTGCCTGAGCTTTCCTCTCCCATCAGCTCCCTTCATCTTGAAAAGCACCCCCTTCCCCATGCCATGAACCGTGAAACCCAAACCCAGTGCTGTTCTGTGTGGAAGGGAGGGGTAATGTGCAGTAACTTGCCTGTGCCCTCCCAGGGGAGATTGTCTTTGTACCTCCTGTTGGTCCTGAAACAATCCAGTTCTGCACCAGGCACCCTGCACTGAATGCCTGCGTTCACAGCTTTGTCTCCCAGCAAGGAATCCTGCAGCAGTACAGATCTTGCTTCTACTTTTTTAGGCTAATGTGTATTTTCAAACCTCCTAATCTTGTAGACAATTAGGGACAGACAACACTTAATTTTATCGTATGTCCTCCCTTGGGAAACAAATAATGTAGTTGAAAACGTCCTTTCCCAAACCCTGGCAGATATTTGTTTCTGAAGTGGCTGCTGTGAAGTGGTGTAGTTTATCCGTAGCAAGCACAGAGAGTTTTGTTGTCTCTGGATGGCGGGTGTGAGTGGCTGCTGGTGCTGTGTGTGTTGGAGGATGCAGCGTGGTTTACAGAAAATGCGTCTTTGCTTAGGGATCAAATCAATGACCATTACTTGAAGGTGCCTTAACAGCATGCCGTATCCAAACTTTGAAACATATAGTGTGATACCGTAGCAGAGGCAGCCCTCTACTGTGCATACTAACATCTAAAAATTGCAGCACAGAAAAAGTGATCCCGAGGGATTTATTCTTTTGGTTTTTTTCTGTTCCATCATTTAAAGTGTTTTGAGGATATAGTAATAGCCCACAGCTTTTAATATTCTGTATCCTTTGTATTTCTTCTCTGACACGCTCTGTCTGAAAAAATCCCAGACACGTAGACCAGGAGGTCTGGAGCTGTAATCTGTGGGTGAATGTCGTTAACCAGTTTAAAACTTGGAAAGAGAGTGGCAGAAGTCCTCCATACTCCTATAATACCCCCAAAAGGCAGAGATTTCAGGGTAGTATTTCTGGTACCCAGTTTTCTCGCTTTCCTGGTGTGGTGGGAATTTGCTGTTAAGTTTGGATCCGTGCCTCCATCGTTTTAGGGAAGAGCTGTACCAGGGAGCCCAAGGAGCCACTCCACCCGCTGAGGTTAGTGTGGAGAGCTGCCTGCCGAGCGAGGGGTGTTTACGGGAGCCACGGCTGGCTCTTGCTGATAATGGGTACTTCGTTGTTGCTGGGCGAGGAAATTGGCTGTGTTTTGTTTTCCCCCAATAAAGGATGCATGAACTTTAGTGTTTAACCTCCTTATGCAACTGCGGCACAGTATTGCACCACAGGGAGTAGATTTAGGACAATGAGGAGTGTTCAGCTTCCTGACCACTGATCTCCACTAAATAGAGAGGTATTACTTTCCCCTTTATTTTGTGCCTTTAAACCACCCCCCACCCCGTCCCAAACCGACAGTGTATAATTTCGAGTTTTATAAAAGCAATAAGATGTTCCAAGTCACTCCGGTGCGCTTCTGGTTGATTCCACTTCTTTAGTGTCTGAAGTCAGATACTCTTCCTTCTGCCTTATGCACTCAAGGCATGCAATAATTCCCCAGAAGTGTACTGCTTGTCACATCTCATTGCAGTTATAAAATTGCCCTATTTTTGAAGAAAAAAGAAGGATGGAGAGATAGATATATATATATCTTTATATATATATTATGGATATACAGGTATATGTATTATTTATATAATCTCATGCCACTGAAAGTAGTTGCGAAAGTGTGACTAGAGTTAAAATATTATCATTTAAAACTCTATCCTTTGTTAATTAGCTTTGATTTAATATTTTAATATCTCTGTATTTATGTAAATCTGTGTAAATTATATGGTCTATTAGTAAAATTTCATACTGACTTTAATTTTTGCAGAACTGTGAGCTTCTTGTGGTGTCATCTAAGGTTTTTTATTTCTAAAGCTAAATTAGACAAGATATGAGAAGTTGTAAATTCCTATTATCACACAGAATTACTGCAATAAGGTTCATGCATATTCCCAGTACACAGCCCTATCTTGAGGTATAGCAAGCTTATGAGGTTTAATTGAACGGTCTCAGGAGATCTAGCTGATACAAGCAGGACACATAGGTTTTCATTTTCATGAAACAATAAGCAATCTAGGGAATAGATGTGGATTTTAAAAAGAGAGTTTATGCTTGGAGGTTCTGTCAAATCAATTGCTTCAAAACCCTACAGCTACAGCTAAACTTCTGCACTTAGCATTCAGTATTAATAAGGCTGATGCTTCTTTCCCCTCCTACTTAAACTAGAAAAGAGTAGAAAATTGTTCATATTTCTAAAGCATACATTTTCAGCTAAATGTGAAACTGCCCAAAGGGTTTTGAATATACATATTTTATGCAAGTGTAATATCTATGTATCTGTATCCATATATTTAAATATTTTTGTGTAACCTTTTCTACGATATTTGATAGAGACGCTGGGTAAATGCTTGTACCTTTCTTGAACACGAGGAAGGATTTTTACCCTCTTGATGTGGACATTCTTTTTCCTGTGAATTTGCACTGGTTTCCACGAGTGGCAATGATGACTGGGCAGCTGAGTGCTGACTGATGGAGGCACAGACTGTCTTTGCTCTGTTAGGGGGCAAATCCTCTGGCTGGATTTTCCTGGTTCTGAATTGGAGCTGGTTGGCCACTAGCATCCTGCATGTGTAAGAATAAGAAGTGCTGTGGGGCTCAATAACTCCTGTCCGGTTCAGCTGTTGTTCCGTGGAAGAAGCACGACAGCAGTGACTCCTTTTGTAGAGCCTGGTGAGAACAGAGATGATGGGCAATGCGATGGCCGTGCTGGGACTGCATTGGAGCATCGGCGATGCCTCGTGCTGCACTCCTGTCCTCAGGAGTGGCAGCTGCCCTGGGGATTCATCCAGCTCCCGCTGGCATCGACAGGAGTGGCTTGCACGGCCCGCTGAGGGACTGGGATCCCATCTGTAGCCCGCACGGAGCGTGGCAGCTCTCCACATCACCACCACTGACCCTGCTCTGCTCCTGTCCTGGCAGTCTTCAGAGACGGAAACCACTGCGTCCCGTGAGGGCTGGGTGCTTCAGCCTGGTGGCCCTGGGGAACCTGCACTGCTGCTGTTAGCTCTGCTCCTGTGGACTGAGGCACTTAGGTTCCTACGTGGATCACGGACAGGGAATGTCATTTCATTCAAATATATCATTCCGGCATTTTTTTCTTTGGGGGTTTGTCTACTGCAAATGTAGCTTCAGATAAAATTTGCCGGGCTCTCCATCCAGACATGTTTTAACTTTTGGTACATCTCTCTCAGATGAATATCTGTAAGTTTATAGATATATATCTCAAAGGAAGTGATGCTGGACAAAAAGCAAAGAACAGAGACTTCAAGTTACTGACAAAACTGTCCTATGACGAAAAAAAAGGTTTTTTTTAATTTAAAATTAATTTTAGAGGCTACATCTTTAATGTAAATAGCAAGTTACTCTGTGATTAATGTTTTCCATAGCATTTCTGAGTAATTGCTATCTTGTTTCTGGAAAGCCGTGTCCAGTGTTATGAAGCAACTGTGCTTTTTTTTCTTCTGTTGTTATGAATATGAGTACAACTTTAATGTAGGGAGAAAAAAAGAACAGGATTTGACTCTTTATATAGGACTGAATTATTTTAAATCCAGTTATAGAATTTGGTTGCTTTTTTTTTCCTTCTTGTGGTTATTCTCTCTGCACGTTCATATTTTTTCTATGGGTACTTGAAACCCTACATTTTAATAAGTATGCAAGGTATGAAGGGAAACATGACAAATTATGTAGGAAATATTTTTTCCTCTTTTGTGTAAATAGCAAAATTTATAATGACTTAAGATACTGTTTCATTACATTTCTTGTCTCTGTAGAATTTGGCATGACACATATACAAACCTTTAATAGCACTTTCATTTATGTTAAAAGTTAGAACTACTTTTATCCAGGATTGACTTATTCATCTCTTTTGGGTATCCAACATTTTTTCCCCTAAGCCAAGTTTTCCATCTGATTGCAAAATAAATTTCTAGTAGAACAGAGCCTCCTTCTGTTTTTAGTCTTTTACATGTAGGTCTCTGGTCTGAATCCAGCCAAACTCATTAGTGTAGAAAATGTGTTACGATCTTGCAAGAACTGGATGGTGTACGAGCCTTGAGGAGAGAGGTGACTGGCAAGCAAACAGGTGAAATGCCTGGCAATGGAAACAGTTGGCTTTCCTGTGTGGAGTTGTGGAAGGGAAGCCTCCCCTTCCACTGGATGAGCCTGGGTGAAGGGCAACCCGTTCCAGCCACAGCAGAGACAAGTATCGATCCTGTTGCTCTAAAATGTCATTTTATATATGACACTAGATCTTATTTCTTTAAATTATGTGTAACGTATTTCTTATTCAAGTCAAAGAGGTT